TTTGAGCAATAGACAAACATGTGATCAGGTAACCCTAAGCAGTTATTTGTAACATTTTCAATTATTCTTACATCTATAGAAGACTCCGAGTAACAAGCTTTCAGTTACGTAAATATGTCACACTTGGGCCCTGAGGTCTTCAGAATTTCCACTCCTTTTTCTTGCCTAAAATGCATCATTTCTGGAAAACAATTCAAAATAGTCAAATAGTTAAGAGAGAGGATTCTTCAAAACATATAGAAGTCATTGAAATGTATTCAAGGAGATGATTATATTTTCTAGACATTATAGGGTTTTGGAGAGGATTAAATAAGATAATGAAGTAAAACTCCTCACACTTTGCTCAGAGCATAGTGGCTTCTTAATAAATAATTCCAAGCATTATTTATAGTAGGGATAATTACTATTAATTTTGGAGAAAATATATATTTTCAAATGGATACATTAAGTTAATTAACTGAGACTGTTTAACTTCACTCTAATTTGTAGATAGTCTACACACACACACACACACACACACACACATACATGAGCACACAAAAAGACCACAGGATTTAGACCAGCTGTCAAGCTCTTAACTACCTGTCACGACTCTGTCCCACTACTATCACCTTGTTATAACCTCTCCTATCCCTGCATCCCTATACTGCACTTTCATGATGACGTATTTCCAAAGGTAAATGTTGAGTTGTAATTTTCTGACAATTTATCAGCAATTGTCATGCACTAATAATACTAATCAACATTTCAAGGGATTTCATGAAGTATTTTGTATATTGACTTCAATTCAAAAAGTCAACTTAATTTTACATACTAGATGTTTCATTTTAGCAAGTTTTTGTTTCAGTAAAAGTTTTTAAAAAACCTTTTAATGCATTTTAACGTATACTGCCATGTCTGGAAAAACATAAACAAAGACATTTACATTCGTTGTGGACAGACTTGTGTGCAAACAGCTCCATGTGATTATCTTTTCCAGGTTTTAGAATTACAGAAATTTTAATTTAGCAATTTCTCCATTGAAAATAAAAGATCATAGGTAAAATGATGAATCACCATAATTTCCCCGGAGGATCCAATCAGTATTTGCATGAAATTTACCAAGTGGGTGTGGGTGTGCAGGGCAAATGTGAGGGCCTGGAGCAGGCGGATGTGACTGGACACTTGCACTGCAGGAAGGGATTGTTCTGCTGCTCTGTGGGGTTGAGGGAAGAAGAGACTTCCAGACGGCTAAACCAGCCAAACGCTCGGGTCTAAGTAGGAATTTGGTGTTTAGGTTGTTTAAGTCTTTAAAAATCCATATTAATTCTATAGTGCTTATATATTTATTTTCTGCTTAATCTAGAAATGAACGAGGAGGATGAATTTACCCCAGTGATTATGCCTGGCCGATTAATCCTTGTAGTTTTCACAGTTGGTGGTTCAAGTACTTTAAGACTACGCTTTCAAAGTTTTATTCAAGTTTAGAATTGTTCTAATGTTCTACAAATCCAACTTTCCTTATATAGTGACTCTCCATCTCTAGTAATGCTTTTGAATTCAAGTCAGTTTTGCCTACTAGTTATACAGAGACTGATAACACCCTCCCTTTGGGGTGGAAATCCATGTGTGTACATTTTATATATGTGATATTTTCCATCATTTAAATTTAACCTCTTAGTATCCTCATATTTCACGTCATGTATTTTTGCAACCACTTCGATAACTTCTTAAATACTTGATCATTCACACTGATTATAATTACGTACATATTTTAACTTATTCCTGTCTATATTAGTTGTCTATATGTGATACAACACAACGCTCCCGACTGAGGGGCTGGAGCAGCACAGCTTCATCTTCTCACAGTAACAGTGGTTAGAAGCCTGAGACGGTTGAAGGTGCCCACAGGTCTGGCTCCTCTGAGGCCATTTTTCCTCGCCTTGTAGATGGCGGCCTGTGCCGTGTCCCCACATGGTCTTTCCTCTCTCCACGTGCCCTGATGGGATCTCTCTGTGTGTCCAATTTTCTCTTTTGGATGAATATTGGGGAGATGGGATTTGGACCCAGCTAACAGGCTCATTGTAACTTCAACACATCATCAAAGATTCTATCTTTATAGACAGTCAGATTTTGAGGTATTGGAGTTTAAGGCCTCAACATTTAAATTTGAGGAGGACGCCATTCGGCCCAGAACACTGCCTTTACAGTGTATGTATTTTATTTATCCTGCCTTTTCTATATTTTTCCTCTTCTTTATTGCCTTCTGTTTACTTTTCTCATTTTATTTTGTCCTCCAATAATTTAAAGGTCATATAAACTATTTCCTATTGGTTAATGCTGGCCCTAGATTTATACACACATACATATCAAATTCTAAAATCGATGTACATGTCCACTTGTGTTCTGAAAATTTCAAAGGCATTTTAGCACTGTAACTCTTGTCAATCCCTCCAAATATACATGCACATTGCAAACATTTTAGCCAAATTATTCTTTTTTTATTTGACAAGCCATTATAATTAGCCAAATTATTCTTTTTTTATTTGACAAGCCATTATAATTACTGTTTAACATAGTCAAATTTGTGTCTATTTACTTACGTATTCACTACTTTATTTGATAATAATTCTAGTTTTCATCTTCAACTTTCTAGCTAGAACCACTTCCTTTTGCCCAAAGCACATCCTGCACAATTTCTTTCACAGTCTGTTGTTAACATCCCTCATTTTTTTTTTTTCTTTTTAGTCTAAGAATATCTATACTGGAAAAAAATTTCTCTGAATGTACACTTCTGTATAATCTTATTTTTCCTGGACCAAGTGAAGATATAATTTCATTCTTTCTTTATTTCCTAAATTTGAATCAAGTCAATAAGTCCTATTAATCTCTGTAGCTGAAAGCTGGAATTTTTTCTTATTCCCTCACCCACAGGTCGTGAAATCCTTCCTCAAATTCCCTGAAGTTGGGCGAGTTTTTGCAGGTCAAGGGTGACGTTAGGTTCTCCTCTCCTCTCTGGCTTCTGCTTTCATTTATTTTTTGGACTCTGAGTGTTCCTTTTCCTTGCCAGAGCATCAGTGTATTTTGTAACCATTTTTATACTTTATCCAGAATTTTTATTTGTTTTTAGCAGGAAGGTCAGTCACAATATCATCTTGCATTCTGCTGGAGAAATAAGGCTGATCCATGGGGTGGAGGGGTGGATTTTGCTTTTTCTGTTAGTACAACTCCACTTTGAAAGTTGAGGACTTGCTTTGGGCCCTTTTTTCCCTCTTTGTCCCATTATGACCTGTGTAACTAACATCAGGAGCAGCCTTGATGATGAAAAGCTGTCACCCTTCTAGACCCTGCACGTACAACA